ATGAAATTTCCCTTTGTATCCTCTCAAAACAATCTCTCTGTTGATAACATCGGTGGTAATCGCTACGAACCCAAATCCGTTCTTGACATTCGCCGGAGTCCGCCAAGTCCATTAACCGGTAATTCTTCGGACTTCAATTCCATTGGTTATTACAATACCGTGTTGTTATCTTCGGAGGAACAGCTGCCGGTGGACAACTTTGAAAATGGAATGATTAATCATCGTGAAGAATGGGATTCTGATTCTCTCATGAGAGAATTAGGGCTTTATGATGATTCCACAAAAACCGCTTACCCTCTTGATCTTCCCGAGCTCCCGCCTTTTTTTCAGTCGGATTTCGAAAGCCTTAATCCGAATTCGAACCAGAACCCCTTTGATTTGATGAGCCAGCATGATGATGGAAGCGAGTTTGATTTTAGGGACGAGTTAATCCGGCTAGCTGATTGCTTCGAAACCCAGTCTTTCCAGTTGGCGCAAGTGATACTGGCGCGGCTCAATCAGCTGTTGCGTTCACCCACCGGAAAAGCGCTTCAGAGAGCTGCGTTTTACTTCAAAGAAGCGATTCAGTGTCTACTCACCGGATCGAGTCGGAGCTTTCAGACATGTAACTCGTATGAAATTGTACAGGTGATTAAAGCGTACAAGACGTTCTCCATCGTCTCGCCGATTCCGATGTTCTCCAGCTTCACCGCCAATCAGGCGATCCTTGATGCAGTGGACGGTGCAATGATCGTCCACGTCATCGATTTCGACATCGGCCTCGGCGGCCAGTGGGCATCGTTCCTGAAAGCGATTGCGGAGAAGGCGGAAGCTCGAAAGGTTAATTCACCGGTGGTAAGAATCACCGCCGTGGTTCCTGAAGAATACGAACTGGAATCGAGATTGATCAGAGATAATCTACACCAATTCTCTTCCGATCTAAAAGTAAGGTTCGATATCGACTTCGTTTCCATTCGAACATTCGAATACTTATCGTTTAAAGCAATTAAGTTCGTCACTGGAGAGAAGACAGCGGTTCTTCTGTCTCCCACGATTTTCCGACGCATTGGCGCCGGTTTCATCAACGATCTCCGGCAAGTTTCGCCGCACGTAGTAGTATATTTGGACGGCGAATTGAATGGATCCGGATCGTCGTTCTTCCGTCAAACAGTGATCAACGGCCTAGAATTGTACACGACGATTCTAGAATCATTGGAGGCGGCAAACGTTGGTGGTGGTGTGACAGGAGGTGACTGGATAAGGAATATCGAGATGTTCGTGTTGCTGCCAAAAATAATCACGACGGTGGAGGATGCAGGACGCCATGTGACGCCGTGGAGGGAGGCGTTTGGTAGGGCCGGGATGAGGCCGGTAGGGCTGAGTCGGTTTGCTGACTTTCAAGCGGAGTGTTTGTTACGGAGGGTACAAATCAGGGGGTTCCACGTGGCAAAACAGCAAGGGGAGTTGGTGCTTTGCTGGCATGATAGACCGCTTGTTGCCACGTCAGCATGGACTTTTTAGGCAATTAGAAAGTCTTATAGATGATGTTTCATAATATATAGGAAATAAACTCACTACATGTATTCATGTAATAGAAATTTCAAAAGAGTGTTTGTGTTGGGAGATGTAGTTGAAATAATACTTGCCATTTGGTATTTAGCTTTGTTGAATTCTAGCCTTTTGTGAAATAGTATTCATTTTATTTTTGTAAAATTATTACAATAATTTAAAGATTCAAGTATTATCATGGTTGTTAATGTTTTATGAAGTTACACTTCCGTAATTGGTAATTATGTTAAAATATATTTTATAAATTGAATTTTGATGATTGTATTGATAAAAGTTAGATATCATTGTATTTGTTAATAGATAAATATATCAGGTTGGTACAAATGAATAACTTCAATATATACTAAGGTTCTAAATAATGTTAGACTTTATTTAACGACAATGTCAGGCTTTAAGCTTTTACGAGTTATAACGAGTCACGTTGTTTATAATACGTGATTTAAGGCGACAATTTTGTATATATATATATATATATATATATATATATATATATATATATATATATATATATATATATATATATATATATATATATATATATTATACGATTATTCGTATTTATCTACATATATGACTTAAAGCGAAATTTGTTAAAACATGGCGTAAAGTACAAGCCTTTGAGCCACGACGCAACATGACGAAACCATAGCGAGCTTTTTGAAACTTTGATATACATAATCAAATGAAAATGTACTATATGACAAAATTCATATGTAAAACACATACATAAAAATATGTTCAAAAACGTAAAGAAACAGAAACCTACATTGACATGTATATAAAAATAAGTAAGATTTTTATCGAATGGAAGTTCAGATAATCAAAAATATATTATTTATAACCCAAATCATACGTATGAAATGTTGAAAATGATGTCCAGTATCACTAAATGTTTTGATAATATTTCTAATAATTGTTGGGGCCTTTTGGGTTGGTCTCATGATCCAAATAGCATATGGAAATGAAGATTAATAATGTGTTAATTTATTATGAAATTAATAAATTAATTAGAAATTATTTTGGTTATTAATTGAAAGGTTTGAATATTAATTAATCATAATTATTAATTGGAATATTCCAGAAGTCTCTGGAGACCTATAGGGGATAGTTTTAGCATCCCTTGGATAAGGATGAGGCTGGTTTGAATTAGATAATGGTAAACCTTAGAGTTTTTATTCATCTAGGATTTTAATAGCTACCTATAAATAAACTGCGAGGGTAAACCTTAGAGTTAGTAATTCCATATAGAAATCATCCATACTCTATATCTCCATCTTTAAATCTTAAATCTCATCCCATCTCTTAGAGTTCTTGTGTTTTGTATAAACCCTAATTTGTGGGTCGAATCCTTTTGCTATTTTGTGTTAGGCCTGATTCCATTAAAGGGGTTCTCTTTTGGATCCTTCATTTGGCAACAAGCTAGTATATACAAGATCACAATGAAGTGAATATGAGTTTAGTAATCTTTACTTTTGTTGTTTTTAAAAGTACGATGCTATAATAGTAAGACATAGATCCTAGGGTGCATGTGCACTTATGTATGTCAAGATTTGATTTTCCCGTTAACTTAAATAGTGTACTTGATGCTATAAATCCCCAATAGTGTACCAGAGCCTAAATTTTTTAGTTATGAGCACACAACTTTGTAAAAACTAAAGAACAAAAGAAACTTGTACAGTCGCAGGTGCAACACGGCAACCTACTGGTCGCGACATGCCGATGAGCTGGACAAATTTTGAATTTAGCTGAAATTTCAAATTTTTGGGGATAAGCCTCTATCTTAAAATATTATTTTAATTGGATAAATTTGACTATTTAAATCTGATAATTAATTTGAAATATTATTTAATTGGGATTATAAATTTGAATATTTAATTAGTTAAACAAAATTAAAATTTAAATATTATCTTTAACTTTCTTTAATAAGAAAATTAAATTAGAAAAATAAGATTATAAATTTAAAAGTTTATTTTTTATATGGTATCATTTACCAAAAGTAAAACGTAAATACCACATGTGTCCTTACATGTTTATAAAAGACATTATCATCGAATTAAGACTTGACTCACCCACTTTAACACTAGTTTAAGGAGGTCTATTTGATTCAGTAACGTCTCAAAATTCAAAATAAATTTAAACTTTTCAAACAACCTATTTACTTAAAGAAGTGTTTACAAAACCATTGTTTCTAACACATTATCTAAAAATAGAGTCTCCCAAAATCAACAACATGAAACCAAGGATGTGTATGGTCACACATTTTCCTTGCCACGGTCCTCTGAAGTACCTAAAACAAAATCAAAATTGTAAGCCAACGCTTAGTGGGTTCCCCTAAAGTACCACCAAATAAACATAACAAACAACGACATGCATACAGAGCCTTCAACATGACTACACTGCCTCACTGGGCCTATAACCTATCTGGACCGCTCTCCGGACCTTCGGCCTGAATGGTTCGCCTTGCAGGCCTTCAGTCTATCCGGACCGCCATAGGTATCTTGGCCTCCAACACAAAGTAGGACCGCCTTAACCCAGTACACCATCACATATTAACATATACCATAAAAATCAATAACTAGCATATACAGGTGGTCATACATATCTAACAAATCATTAAAACATAGCAACATCCTATATATATATATATATATATATATATATATCAGGATACAAATCTTAAGAGATCACTACAACATAACAACTTCCTATATACCGGGATACATATCTAATAGTAAACTACAACATAACAACATACGGTAAACCAGGATATCAATCCAATAGGTCAGCCTTGCTGCCTTTGACCCGTAAGTACAGTGAGGAAAACTCACCTCACACTGTGACAAATAGCTGATCAATACCCTGCTCCCAAATACCGGCTTAATCCAAATCCTAAATGTCAATACATTTCCATTCTAAGTTAATAACATTTCCCCAAAAATGCCCTTGGTTAAAACTGGTCAAAGTCAACAAGTCAACAGAGTCAATTCAACAGAATCAACTCAGGCTTCGTACGTGGGTCGTACTCCGAAGGTAAGTGGGGCGTACTAGCTGTCAGAGGCATCGGGTCGAGATCTGCATTGCGTAGCGTAGCATTTCGGTATGCCCACCGTACGTAGCAATCCCCCTTTTAACCTATTAAGTGCTTATTTCTTTGACTTAACATGCCAATTGCAAATCCAAGGTTAAAATACCATCAAGAGTCATAAAGTTTCCAACTTTATGACTTTTCATGACCATTAAGTGCTTAATACACAAAATTTTAACATCTTAAAGCCTTAAGACCATCTATAGCATGCATGGAGTAAAACTAATCATCAAGACCACATTTTTATGACTTAAGACCCCCAATAAGGTATGAAAGGATGAATTATTGTTGGATTAGATGTCTAAGTCCATAACTATTATTGGTATGTACTCGACCTGAGAGTAGCATGGTCCATTTGGGTTGCATATCATCAGGACAATTTGTTAGGGTGGACTTTTGAGAAGTGTAACAACGTAATTTTTCAAATTTTTTTTTCATTTCTTAAAAACATAATTTCATCCCAATCAAACCATAAAAATCCAATGTAACATAATCATAATACAAAACATGTCAAATCCCAAGATCAAATACATCCCAGTCCGCCTGCGTGTGTGTGTACGAGTCATGTCGGCGCCTTCCCACGGTCCTCGCTAGTACCTGAAACACATAACACAACAACTGTAAGCATAAATGCTTAGTGAGTTCCCCAATATACCACTTACACACATACGTCCTTCCAGGCCATGACCTTATGGTCCATGTGTCTTAGGGGACTTCCGTCCCGACCCGGTAAACCTTCCGGTCCTACCCGTGTCGACCTTCCGGTCCATAAGTCTCTGACCTTCCGGTCTACATTATAATGCCTTCCAGCCCATAAGTCTCTGTACTACCTATCACACGCTGCCCTACCTCGCCCCAGCAAATGGGGGTACGACACCTCCTTCCATACAACAACTCAAAAGGTAGCATATCAATGCTCGAGTGATGGTTGTTGTTATAGGAAAACTCAGCCAAGGGCAAATACGTGTCCCAACTCCCATCGAAATCCAATACACATGCCCGAAGCATGTCCTCGAGCGTCTGAATCGTCTGCTCGCTCTGCCCGTCGGTCTGTGGATGGTATGCGGTACTGAAATGAAGCCTCGTACCCAACTCCTCGTGAAAATTCTTCCAAAATCTGGAAGTAAATTTCACATCTAGGTCTGAAACAATCGAGATCGGAACTCCATGCCGCGATACCACGTCCCTCACGTACAACTCTGCCAACCTCTCAGCAGAAGAGATCTCACTGATAGCAAGAAAGTGAGCGCTCTTCGTCAACCAGTTCATAATCACCCAAATCGCATTGACACCCCTGGCAGTCCTCGACAATTTGGTGATAAAATCCATGGTGATCTGTTCCCACTTCCACTCGGGAATCTCTAACGGCTGTAACTTACCACGCATGCGTTGGTGCTCGGCCTTAACCTTGCGACAGGTCAAGCACCTTTCTACGAACCATGTAACATCCCGTTTCATATAGGGTCACCAATACTCATTTTTCAGGTCCAAATACATCTTAGTGGCCCCGGGGTGGATCGAGAACTTCGATTTGTGCGCCTCCTCCATCAAGACGGTACGCATCCCGCCCACAAACGGTACCCAAACTCAACCCTGGAAGGTCATAAGTCCTCAACTATCGGTAACAAACTCCGATACCAGTCCGATCACTCGCTCTCACTTGCGGTTCTCCGGTCTCACGGCCTCCGCCTGGGCCCCTCGAATGGCGTCCTATACCGGAGTCATCACTGTCAATCTCATGCAAATATCTCGAATCAGGGTGTCCTTCGCCCTACGGCTCAGGGCGTCGGCTACCACATTAGCCTTGCTCGGGTGGTACAGGATCTCACAATCATAATCCTTTACTACATCCAACCATCTCATTTGA